CATCAATTATAATACCAAGAAACTGAACACATTCTTTCCTTTTTATAATATTTACATCAATTTGTATAGGCAATAAATCACTAGGGATCTTCCGATTTCGAGAATGAAATATTACATAATTTGTTTTATCATAATTGAGAAATAATTTATTACATTTGAACCAATTATCCAATTTTATCAATTCATTATTCATAATATAAACTAAAGTAAATACACTACTATGTGATGTAATAACGGAAGTATCATCTGCAAAGAGTGTAAAATTTAATACATTTGAAGATTGTTTAATATCATTTATATAAATTAAAAACAAAAGGGGCCCTAGAACTGATCCTTGAATAACACCACATATTACATCCCTTTTAGTCGAACAGACACCGTCAACCACCACATACTGCTTTCTATCACTCAAATAGTTTTCAATTAATTTCAATGGAAGGCCGCGAATACCATAATAATTTAATTTTTTGAGGAGTATGTGGTGGTCAATGGTGTCGAACGCTTTTGACAAATCAATAAACACACCCAATGAATAATTACCCTTATCCATATTCTTAATTACATAATCTGTTAAATGAAGTGCTCCCAAACATGTAGAATAAGTCTTCCTAAATCCAAATTGCTCATTTATCAATAAATTGTTTTTAACCAAAAAATCATAAATTCTTTTTTGCAGGATTTCTTCAAATAATTTTGAAAAAATTGATAAAAGAGCAATTGGTCTATAATTTTTTATATTTTCTTTTTCATTTTTCTTATAAATGGGTATAATTTTAGCTAATTTCAAACTGTCGGGGAATACTCCAGAAGAAATTGATTTATTAAATATATCACATAATGGATCAACAATAAAGTGTTTACATTCTTTTACTACTCTGGAAGAAATACCATCTGGGCCACTTGCTTTATATGATTTCAATGTTTTACTAAGTTCAATTATTTCAAATACTGTAGTAAGTTTTAAAAACAATGTAAAATCATTATGATGTTTTAAATAATCATTAAATGAAGTATCTACAACAGGAATGCGACGAGCTAGATTACTCCCTACATTAACAAAGTATGAATTGAACATTCAACAATCTCTTTTCTATTATTGTAACTAATATTTTCAAAATACATATTACATGGCAAATCATTCTTCTTGCTCTTTCCTAGTAATACATTAACTTGTGACCATGTTTTCTTGCAATCATGTTTATACTTAGCAAACATTTTATAATAGTATTGTTTCTTAGCTGTTCGTAATAAAGAAGTTAATTTATTTTTATATATACACTGTTGCTCATAACGGTGGAATATTTTTGTTTATCCCAATTTATGGAATTATTTTAAAAATAATTTAAAAATACTAGATCTAGATAATAGTATACAGTCTCAGATTTTATTGAATAATAATTTGCCAATATGTGTTTTGCGTGACTGCTGAAGCATGTATATTATGCTACTATGTTTATCAACTAGGGGACCTATGCCCTTAAGTCATAAAGGACAGTAATGAGGATTAATGCCTCACAAAAGGGCTCTGATATAGCACATCGACACGGTGTTGATCCTGGGGCCTCACAGTTACGAGGCCATTGCTTTGTCACTGAACCATGACTGTACGCATCGGGGGCTATGGTAGGGGGCAGTTTCCATAAATTGAAAAAAAAACAGAAAATGCAATAAATTTTCAATAATTTATTGCATTCTACCCCGGTCCCCAACATAAAAAAATCCTCTGGACGGCCATGCATTATGGCTCAAGGCATGGGCACACAGAAGATTTTCTCAGAAACAGCAATAATATCAAAATCAAATTTCACTGAACTGAGTAGTAACTGAAAATCATCAAAATTCTTTTTTAAACTTCTTGCATTTATACGTATTAAAGACAAAGATGGTGTACATAAGCTATATTTCTTTCCAAAATCTTCACAAAACATATAATCACATTTGAGTTGAGTTACATCATAATCATTATCCAAAAATGGTGTTTCACTGAATTTGAGTTCTTTATTCATAACAAATGGATTTATTTTCAAATTTTGGAGTCTTTCAATATTAATATTTTGATTCAATTGAAAGAAACTGAATACATTCCAATAAAAATCATTGTCACTAAGAAAATGATTAAAAGGTAATATACTTGAAATACATTGCGTACAGATGAATGATTGAGCAGAGGATAAAAAAATCAGCACAGTTCACACACTTCATGCACACTCACCCAGATAAGTCAAACAAGTTACAATCACAAAAATCACAAAATCACAAATTAAATCCCCCATTAGGGAATACTGAGTTCAATAATACAAGTTCAAAGTAAACATGTCTATTGAGAGGGTCAGTAACCTCCCAGGGAAATATTATAGTTCTGTCATCTTACTTTCTCTTTCTCTCTCTAGCTGTCTATCAGTCTATGTGAGTTTTTCTTCACGTTCTATTCGTGTTAATGTGGCTACCTTAATTTTCTTGCCTCTTCTATGGTACCGATAACTTTCCTGACCGATTTGCCGTTTGTCGCAGGGAGTGCTACCAGGATGCGGCCATCTGACGACCGAGCTGCGGATACTCTTGGTGACAATCTTGCCTCCTTGAGTATTTCGTAGTTATGGGAGGTCAGGTCCTCCGCTATAGTAGTCCCGGAGTTTTTGAGCCGCCGTCTAACCGCCATCAGTGTCTGCTTCGCGCGGTAGGTAGCAAATTTGACGATGATCGGTCGGTGGTGAACCTGTTCCGACCTCCGCGTCGCCCTATCAGCCACAGCGGCCCACGATGTCGGTGTCGATGCGGCTGTGTTCTCCGGTCCACCCGGAGTCGAGGTCGGTATCGCTGGTAGTCTCTGCTGGTGTACTGAGGCTCCTATGCCCTGAGTGTCTGGTCTCCAGATCGCCCCGATCCGGTGGCTTCGGTCGAGGTCCTTTAGTTGTAGCTCCACTCCTAGCTTCTCCTTGGCAATGTTCATGATGACGTTGTCGGTCTGTTCTCCTGTGCTTTCGGGGACTCCAAAAACTCGTATACAATTTCTCCTCGAGTACTGCTCGGCGTCGTTGCACTTGTTTTGTAGTCTGTTTGTTGAGTCTTCCTGTGTTTTGAGTCGTTTTTCAAGATCGTTTATTTGTTGGCTTTTACGTTCAGTCTCGATCTGAAGTGAGACAATATTTGACTCGTTTGACTCTACTTGCTTCGAGAGTTTGGCGAATTCTTGTTTAAGTTCTTGCATTTCCTCTCGTATTGTTTTCTTAATCGTCTTTTTGATCATGTCAAAGAAGTCTTTATCAGTCATTCCCAGGTCCGTATGCTAATGAGCAAATTCGCGATATTTATAAATCGAGAGCAAAGTGAGGGCGTAGCTGAAATGTTGATCTCGCGATCGGCGAGAAAACGAACCGAGGCTAGGGCCTGTAGTTAACGCTGCGCCAACGTGCTACTACATCATTTTATCGTCGGGATGTCTGGGTGAGTACCTTTGCTGTTTATTTGTCGTTCTATACATGTAAAATGTATTCCAAAATGAGTTGATTTCGATGAAATACGAGTATTTTACGAAAGAAACGTATTTTAACATTAATTTTGACTCTGTTGAGATGTTGGTGGATCCTGACCCGTTTACCAAATTATGGCTAAAACCACGACGTTTTCTGAACTGTTGAGATGTCAACCTTTCTGATGATACCAATTTGATTGAGGCTTTTTAATGGACAAAATGTGTAATTTAGGACCCAAAGTTGACAATTTTTATCGCTAAACGCGAGATTTACGCTCAAGTGCGACACATGACTCGTGTAATGAGTATTATGACCGAAACTGACCGAGTTTTCCGAGTGTTTTGGCGGTAGTGGTAGCCAGTCCCACATACTGATAATGTCGTCTTTACTTTTTCAATCGAGTGCAAATTAACTGCAAGCTTGCCATTTGAATTTTGATTTCTTGTTTAAAATTCACGGGATTGAAGGGATTCTATAACTTATGTTATATTTATAATTCGATGTTATAAACTATCATTAACCAGTAACTAGCAATGACAAATGCTGATAAAAAAGGGTGATATTTATTTGACTAATTTTGAGTTTAGTCGTAGATTCCAGATGTAGACTTTAGGCCTAGATCATGTAGATCTAGGCCTAGTTGAACTAATTTGGATATTCATGAAGTTTCAAATCTCATGTTTGTATAATGCAACAATTTTGTCTAAATTTACCCAATGCTTAAAAATAAAAGATCACGCCCAACTATGTCTATGCTCTCACCTAGTCTCAGCCTCTCAGGGGGAAAGCTGTTTGCTCATTTGGCGAGGCAAACGACAGGGCTTATTTGGCAGGTAGATCTATTCTGAATTTTCCATGGAACTTGCTTTGTGCCTTTGACTGTGGGTATACACGTAGTCGTCACTCCTGCAAGACAAGGGCTGACGCATTCCTTGCATATTTGTAGTGGTTGAATTTTGGCATTTCTTAATGCTATTTCTGGCAATTTTACTCAATATATTTCTTCCAAATTTTTTTTTTTATTGAAATCCATTATTTTGCCCCCTTTATAGACCCTAAGTAAGAAACAAATTTTGCTCCTAGTCTCCAAACACAATGTTTAATTTTAAAAAAGTACTATAGAACTGGGAAAGTAGTCTAGAGATACTAGCAAATCTATAGACTACATGTATGGTAGAAGATGCGAAAAAATTCAAAAACATTACCATTAAAACGTCATGTCAGGAAAACAAAAAGAACAACAAGATGTTGTGGAGTGTTTTTATTCGCCATAATACTCAAATTTGTTTCTTCTTTAACATTTAATCTTGTAATTGTTTTTCTTCCTCATTCAGGGTTCCCCTTTCATCAAAACGACTGGTGCATTTTTTTCGGAGATTCGATTATTCGTGGTCTGGAGACAAATATAATTAACAGCTCGTTTTCGTCAGAAGTATTTTGTTTTCCTGGATGTACAATTAACGGCCTAAGAACACGCGTCAAGGAAACTATTACAGAACCGAATTTTAATGTTGATGTTTTTTTTTTACATGTGGGCACTAACAATTTGAACAGGAGTGTCTGGGATATTGATGTGAAACAATATCGTCTACTTTTTTATACTGTGCGGGAACTATACCGATCAGCGACAATTATTTTCAATGCGATTTTGCCCAGATGGGACTCAGAAGACCTTTATGCCAGCAGCCTTTATTATAATATTAAACTGAACGATTTAGCATGCACCTTAGAGAACTGTTTGTATATAACGCAGAGTGATTTGTTTCAAAACTTCGATGATTTGCATGCCTATGACGGACTGCATCTGAATTTCTATGGAAAAATTGTGTTTGCTGAGGTCGTTATTGGGGCAATTACCAAATGTTTGACACCACGTATTAAGGGGGCTGTATATGTTCCCCCAGAACTGAGGAAGCTTTGGTCTCCGAAGCCCCAGCGACGGGAGAAGAGAAGAGACAATGAGATCAAGGAGAGGAGACAGAAGATGGAGGAGAACAAAGAGAAGAAAATAGAGACGGAGGAGACAAAGCGAAGCATGGAGAAGGAGAGAACGCGCAAGATGGAGGAGAGAAAGCGGAAGCAAGCAGAGAGAAAGCGCAAGATGGAGAAGGCGAGGAAGCGGAGGATGGAGAAGGAGGCTGAAAGAAGGTGAAGGGAAAGTGTACCCATCGATCCGCTGGTATTTATACGGCCGCGTAGATACGCAGTTCCCCCGCGACCACCAGACCTTCCTCCAAATCAATACATCCCCGATTCCCCAGCCCACTGGCTGATTCCGTATGTAAGTCTACCAGCCCCGTCCATGACTTTTCATACCATGTCTGACCTCCCAGCACCCATGTCACCATATCTGAAACGCAAACTCCTTGGGAAGAGAAAGCGAATACAGGCCAGGGCTCGGAAACGGAAAAAGCATCGGAAGAAGGTACATAGACTGTTTATTTCTTATCAGTTTTAGGAAATGCGTAGAATGAATTGTATTTTGTTGACAGTCTATCATTAGTAAACCAACATACATGTGCAATTATCTAGCATGTTTTGGATAGAATAATACTTGTACATGTGTAATATTATAAAATTATGAATTACATTATTCTAGAGATCCCTTCAAAACAGTTCAACCTAAAAAATCAACAGAACTTGGATTTAAGCAGAATTTTTTTTTTTAATCACTGATCTTAGTATTTCATTATAAAAATTACAGATTATGTAAATCCATGTTTTTTCTACTTTATACTAATGACCAATCTTTCCACTTTTTGCACATACAAATTGGTCAAAAGATGAATAAACCCCCTTTAGAGTATATTTCCTTATTTTTGTTAAACTTTTTTTGCTTTGTGTAGGTGACAGGATTTACATGTAGTCTGCTTTCACTGCTGCGGGGGTAAACCCATGGAAACCATCCCAGAGATCATCTTCAACTTCATCCTTATCAACGGCTTCATCATCGACGACATCTCCATCAACGGCTCCATCATCAACGGCTCCATCATCGACAGCTCCATCATCAACGGCTCCATCATCGACGGCATCTCCATCATCAACGGCTCCATCATCGACGTCTTCACCATCCACTGCTTCTTCATCAACGTCAGCAGCTAGGGTAACTCCAAAACCATGTAACAAATCTAGGTGTGGACCATGTGCAATATGTGAAAAATCTTCAACAAGATATACCCACTTACTCTCAATAAAATCATTTGAAATAGCTAATTTAATACTCAGCAAAAATCCTTCCATTACGGATTGTGATTGTATATGTAATGCCTGTCGTCAAAAATATAGAAATAAAGTTAAAGATAAGAATTACACACCGGAAAAAACAAGAAAAAAGGATAGGTCAGAGGCTTGCTTTCTCTCACATTCATTTTTATGTACTAATTTTTCAGTTAGAAGCCAATATAAATGTAGAAGAGTTTAATGTAGTATTTTCCCTTAATTATGAAACATTACCTAATCCAGTTCCCCTATGTCGCAAACATAGATCCGAAATTGCTAACTTTCAGGTAATTAAAATCTGCGCCATTTGTAACCAGTCCTTAAAACCTGCAATAAAGCGATACAGCTTGTATAATAATGAAACTGTAGATTTGGACAGAATACACATGATTAATGAGTCCATTGTTATAAAAGAAAGTGACGTCATTTGTAAACATTGCTATAATTTTGCGACTTCCCTAAGTCATCTGACTACTATACGTCATAGTTTAGGCGACATTGAAATATCAATTGATAGGGAGATTAAAGAACTAGATAATATTCTTGAAAGTGATTCTTTAATCGATAGAACATGTAAAAAAACACTGAAACAGATATGCTCATGGTGTAAAACAAATTTCAGTTTTTTATTTACTGATGCCTATGATTTTTTCATTGAAGAGTTAAAGCGAAGTTGCAGTGCTGAGCAGTTTGACGATTGCTGTCGGTCAAAACCATGGCTGCGAGTCAGGATATTTAGTTCATTTGGCAATTCTCTTTCAACTCGTACTTTTTCACGAAAGAGAGGGATTTTGTATTATCTGTCTTCTGTCACAATGGAACAGCTTATAGAAGCACTGTACAATGCTCAGTGGAAAATACGGACCCTTCAGAAAAAAAATTATGATGATGAAGGAATGGATATACATTTAGACCAATCAGAGAGCATGGATCATTCTTTCCAGAAAGTGATGATTGAAGGAAATAAAAGAATGACCGTTCAAGCCAGAAAGATTAATGATACTTACTTACAGAATCCATTAGAGGTCCAAGATTTCAACATTGTAGATTCACAGTCTCTTTTTGACCCATTTATTTGGAATATCGTTTTTTTTTATTACATCTAATTTAGAAGAAGTAAGTTCCTACAAGAGAAATCCAGTTTGCTTAACTCAAGAATTTATATCTTTTCCAAATGAAAGCACACCTTTTGGCATGCAAAGAAAAATCAAACGAATTGTTTCAGTTTTTGTTTTACAGTTTATTTTGAGTGATACATGTACTTACCCATTTCATATTGTCATTGCCAACGTGATTAAGAGGCTTTCACATTCTTCTGCTCTTCTTCAAATGATGAATAGGTTGGGATTTTCTTGTTCTGAATGTACCCTAGATAGGTTTTTGCAACTTGTTAAAGATGTTCGTGATGCTAATGGGCCGTTAGCCTCACTAGATGTAAATTTGTTAACACATGTCACAATCGATAACATTGATGTTTTAGCATCCCATGCAGCTGTGACAGCGCAGCAAACAAGGAGTTGGCATGGAACATCCATAATGACCCAACAACCAAAACCTGAAAGCGAAATGCTTCATAGTACATTAGAAAAAATAGGTCCAGATCTACCAGTGGATACTTGTGTTACTCGATCCACGAACAAACAAACCTTCTGTAAGAAAAAGACTGAAAATTTCACATCCCACTGATATTCCTACAAAAGAAGATTTTCAGCCTCCCCAATTTAAAACACATATTCGTTCCCAAATTTCATGGGAGACATTTATTACTTCAGAACCAGAAAAGGAATCTCTCTGTAAGATAAGGGATGAAATGCTTGTGTATGCTTTAGAGAGATATGTTTGTGTTAAAGAACCTTCATTACCATTACTACCAAGTTTCAAATGTAAGTTGCTTCTTGAAAGTGAGGAGACAAAAACTGAGCAATCGAAATTTTCATACTTGTATGTGTTAGATCAACCTGCTGATTGTAAACAAACATTACTACGTTCCTTGCACAAGCTTTATGACCTTTTCAAGATAAATAAGAGTGTTAATCATCTAGTAGTAGCAGGTGATGGTGCTACATTCAAGATTTAGCTTGACATTAAGCGAGAATATGGTGATGTGCTTGACTGGATGATTCCATACATCGGGGACTGGCACTTAAAAACTTTCAGGAAGTTATCATGAAAATATTTTGGGATGGGGGGCTTAAAGACATTGCCAAAACAACACACAAAAGTATGACCCTCCAAAGTCTTGCCACTTGTTCCAACTTTAAAAGAACTCATAAATTTCTTATTCAAGCGCAATTAAGCTCTGCTGATTTATCAGTTTCAGTGTTTCCTTGATTCCAGAAAGGAAACATCAGGTCTATTAAGTAATGAAAGCTTTTTAGAGGGTATTCACTCTGTTGTACAGTCACTTGATGTTGGAGAGAAAGGATTTGATACAGAAACATTTGAAACCAAACAGCAAGAATTTTGTATGTCGCCTATATTCCTCTCTCTCAAAGAAGAGTTTCTTGAATACTGTGAGAAAATGTCTGATAAATTTCCAACTTTCAGGTTTTGGAACAGGTTTACACACTTAGACTGTATGCTATATGTTCAGTATTTCATCAGTATTCGTTCTGCCAATTGGGATTTAAGGAATGCTGCGCTTAAGGAAATTGCCCCGATGTTTCATGCTTGTGACAGCCAAAATTATTCCAAAATGATACCTATCCATCTGAGTATCATGCAATGTTTACCAGAGCATGTTCTGTCACATTTCAAGAATGGTGCCTTTGTGTCAAATATAAAGGGAACAGAATTTTCTTGTATCGCTCTTGACGAAGCTCATGAGATGATGATAAATAAAGATTGTAAAATGGCACTCTGTAGAAGCTTACCGAAAAACATGGACAAAATTGCTGGAGTAATTCAGTATCAAGCTCAACTGATAAAGAATGTTCAAGAACAATTAAATGTTTTTAATCCCTCCGCGTCAGTTTTACACAGAGACCTTTCTTTTTCCGTTGTGAAATCAGAATTTTCAAATGTGAAGGCTTACTTTGGCAAACTGTGTGAAAGTACAATGTTTTCGCCTGACCAAGACTCTCCTTTACATCATGTGTTTACAGGTGCTCATGCCTCAAAAGAGCAGGAAACAAGTCTGATGTCATACAGAACTATTGGTCAAGAAGCTTATTCGTACTTCTGCAATTTTCAAGTGTTAAAAGATAGTAGTATACAAAAACCTGTATTGAGACGGCATAATCTAAGAACTTTTGCCAAAAAAAAGATATCCCACAAAAAAGTCACAAGTCTAGAAAAAGAAAAAAAAATGATGACATTATGTTACAAACGAACAATCGCATTTTCAGAGGAAAAGGGACTCCCGATATCCACTTTATGCCAGTTTATTGAAAAACCTCGGGCTATTTGCAATCCTAATAATTTGCCACATAAAGGTGCTAAATATGTGATTTATGACATTTTTGACAAGCGATATGGACAAAAGTATAAAGTAGTATCTGTAATAATCTGTTAAACCAAACATGGAATTAAAAGGTGCATGTTTAATAGCAGAGGGCATGAACATAATTTACACAGCACCACTTCGCCATTATAAAACGTTTTCAGACTATGCATCTTTTGTGGTTGCTAGATGGATTTTGTCAAGTTTTTCTAAAGGTTTTGCTGAAGTTCGGATTTTATTTGATCAAGTAGATACACAAGAATTGTCTCCTAAAAATATTGAAAGATCAAGAAGAGATGGAGTAGATGAAAGTGTTGAATGTGTAGAAAATATAGGTGACGATACTTTGTTACCAACCAACTGGTCTACTTTTTTTAAAGTTCGTAAGAATAAACACACTCTCATTAGATACCTCTCACACAAGATTGTTAAAAGTGTCGATGGCAAATTGAGGGAAAATCAAGTATTTATAACTTCGGGTGGGTTCCATGTTGGGTTACCGAAAACAGAAGACTGGTCAGGAATGGTTGTTTCCAGCAGAGAAATTGAGCATCATAAACTTATACATAATCATGAGGAGAGTGACACCCAAATTTTTCTCCATGTCTTTGATTCACATTGTAGTAATATTTTAGTGTACTCCATTGACAGAGATGTGGGTATAATTGGCTTGCCGTTAGACTTTCAGAACAAGTCTGTTTGTGTGCAATACGATGCAAAAGTTGGTGAAGAAAAATACCTCAATATTAATGTTTTACAGGATGCTATTCGAGCAGATTCTGATTTGTCATGTATACTTGCACAGAACATTGATGTTTTTAAGTGTATTCAGATGCTTTACATATCATCAGGATGTGATTTTGTATCGTTTTTTGCAAAGTTGGGTAAAAGTACCTTCTATAAAGTTTTTTTTCTTCAGTATTCGTCTTTCATAACGGGAGAGAGCAATCGGACACACACGGTAATTTGACTTGCACTACAGTGAACAAAGATAGTGAGATTGGCCTACTTGCATTTTATAGATTAGTGTTATCTGTATATTTTAAGGCAAATAGAGCATGTCTGCATGAGTTTGATAGCCCACTTCAGCTGTTCAATAGTGTGTCTGGGGAAACAGTTATGGAACAACACGAAGAGGCACTCAATCTTGTCAGGAAGGCATCATGGAAAGGGGCATACGAAGATGAATTGTTGCCTTCAAATAATGCCCTACAATTTCATTGATTGAGGGCTTGTTGGGTGAGTACAGTATGGAATCTATGCACTGAACCACAATTTAAATACCCAAATCTGACATTGCATGGCTATGTGATAACATCC